CCCCAAAACCCCAAAACCCCAAAACCCCACTCCTCTGCAGATATATTGAGAAAAAATTAAAATTAAGTTTTTATAATAATAAAATGGAAAATCTTACTGAAGCTATCGAAGAAGGAAATATTAAGAAAATCAGGTAACTGTAAATTTAGTTTTAGAGAACTCTGAGTTTTCACTCTTAAATTTATAACAAGTTCTAAAATTTTAAAGCTTAACCAAAATTTGCCAACTTTTATAATAATTTAACCTAAAATTTCTTGGTCGAGAAGTTCATAGCAAAACTAGAGAGAATTTATAAGCCTTACCTCTCTTAGATTAATTTAGTACCTCCACAGATAACATTTCTCCTAAAGCCTTAAACCTGGGATTTCTCAAATTCTAAATTAGCACCCTTCCATCTCCCACTTTCTGACGGATTCTGACCCTGATCTACCCCCGTCCACCTCTAATCATATAGCCTAGAGAAGTCTGTCCTATCAAAAACCAAGAATCAAGGGGTCACCACATGTCAGAGCATCCTCTATAAGGTTCTTCAAGATGAAGAAATTGAGCCATCGGATCCTGACTCCGAAGAAGTTTCAAGGAGCAGTCATCTTTACATCTGGGTGGACGAAATCTGGGATGAAAAGCTTTTGAGAAGCTTAAAGTGCCTTAAGGTCTTTGATATAGACTGCCTTTATTTGGATGAGATTGGGTCTAAAAATAGACGTTTAGTTCTAAATTTCTTACAATCCTCATTCCCGACTAGAATTAAGGACCTCAGTTTTTGGTCCAGTGGCAAAATGGATCTGGAAAGGCCCAATTACTTAAACTCCCTGACCAGACTCAGCTCCAAAGTCGTTCGAGAAGCTTCCTTTAGAGATTTCAGCATCGGCCTGCCCCAACTGAAGAGGCTGGTGGCAGCTTTCAGGCATGTGAGAACTCTGGTATTGAGAAATTGCAGACTATCTATCCTAAGTGTTCCTGATTTGTCAAAGGCTCTGAAAAATTGTCAAATCCAGAAAATAGATTTATTAGGATCAGGAAGCTTGATCAAAAGTGATTGGGAGAACAACTTCGATGAGTTCGAGAACTTGGTACAAGGGTTAGCAGGCTCTCCAGATTTAAGGTTGAGTCTTGAACAAGTAGATGTCTCTAACTGCGGAGTAACCCAAAACAAAGCTGAACAAGTCTTTGAAGAAAACCAGCTTGGAGGAGTTAACATAATTGGTGGAAAATAAATTTTGGATAAAATTCTTATTTTTACTACTTTGGTTAAAATTCTGCTTCTCCATATTTAGCACTTGGTGACTTTTTAATATATTCCGGGGGTTGATCAAGCTGGGGTTTTGGGGTTTTGGGGTTTTGGGGTTTTGGGG